TCACAGATGATAGTTTTACATAGAAAACCCCAAAGACTCCACCAAAAAAACTGCTAGATTTCATAAGTGAATTCAGCAAAGTAGTGGGGTACAAAATCAACATCCAGAAATCGTTGGCATTTTTATATACCAATAATGAATTCTCAGAAAGAGAAACTAAACAAACAATCCCATTTACCACTGCCTCAAAAAAAAAATTAAGATACTTAGGAATAAACTCTAACCAAGGAAGTAAAAGACCTGTATTCAGAAAACTACAGGACATTGAAAAAAGACATAGAGAAGATATAAACAAGTGGAAGCATATACTGTATTCATGGATTGGAAGAATTAACATCATTAAAATGTCCATACTATCCAAAGCAATCTATAAATTCACAGATCTAGAACAAATACTCCAAAAATTTATATGGAACCAAATAGCCTCGTAGAGAAAGAAGAACAAGGTTAGAGGGATCACAATGCTGGATATCAAGTTATACTACAAAGCCATTGTAATCAAAACAGCCTCGTACTGGCACAAGAACAGGCATATAGATCAATGCAACAGAACAGAGGCCCAGAAATCAACCCATGTCATTAGCATACAATGGAGTAAAGACAGTCTCCTCAATAAATGATGTTGGTAAAATTGGACAGGTACATGCAAAAAAGAAAAAAGAAAAAAAGAAAAGAAAAAGAAACTAGACCACCAACTTACACCATGAACATGAATAAATTCAAAATAGATAAAAGACTTAAAGGTAAGTCATGAAACCATAAGCATCCTAGAAGAAATCATAGGCAGCAAATCTCAAACATCTCACATAGCAGAATTTTCACCGATACATTGTCTAGGCCTAGGGCAAGAAAAACAAAGGAGAAAATAAACAAATGGGACTACATCAAACTAAAAAGCTTCTGCAAAGGAAAAGAAGCCATCCTCGAAATGCAAAGAGAACCCACTGTATGGGAGAACATATTTGGCAATGATACATGTGATAAGGGGTTAATTTCCAAAATATATAAAGACCTCATATAACTTAACAAAAGGAAGACAGACTATCCAATTAAAAATGGGCACTTCTGGAAAGTGGACATACAGATGGCTAAGAGATATATGAAAAAATAGTTAATATCACTAATCATCAGAGAAATGCAAATTAATCACCTCTCACCTGTCAGAATAGCTACTATCAATAAATCAACAAACAACACCTACTGGCGAGGATGTGCAGAAAAGGGAATCCGAGTGCACTGCTGGTGGGAATGGAGACTGTGCAGCCACTAGGGAAAACAGTGTGGAGTTTCCTCAGAAACTTAAAAATGGAACTGCTGTTTGACCCAGTGATCCACTACTGGGAATATATCCTAAGAATCCCGTAACACCAATCAGAAAGAATATATGCACCCCTATGTTCATAGATAGCATATAGATAAACACCTACTGGCGAGGATGTCCAGAAAAGGGAATCCAAGTGCACTGCTGGTGGGAATGGAGACTGTGCAGCCACTAGGGAAAACAGTGTGGAGTTTCCTCAGAAACTTAAAAACCGAACTGCTGTTTGACCCAGTGATCCACTACTGGGAATATATCCTAAGAATCCCGTAACACCAATCAGAAAGAATATATGCACCCCTATGTTCATAGATAGCATATAGAAACTCTGATAAATAGGTTGGCTTTTAAGTCTGGGAACAAATACAAGTGATAGACATATGGGGGGGAGGTTGGTTTGGGGGGTTTGCTCGGTCTCTGTGTATCTGAAAATGCTTATGAGGGGCTTATTTTTCCTTTTGAGGTTCATTAATGATGTTTTTTCAGCCTCTCATAGAGATATCAGTAAAGGAGAGAATTTAGAATTTTGATTTCCTTGTGTAAGCCTTTCCCCACAAAATACCATGACTAATTTCTGGCCAAAATGGGAGATTTCCAGGTTTTTTTCTTAGATGTTTTGATCATCCTTCCTTTAGAATAAAGGAGGAAACTGACACTAGTTTGGAGGTGATCTCTGGTCACCAATTCCACATTTTTCTGAGTGATACTATAGTAGTTTAAGATAAGCTAAACAGAGATAGAACTTCCTTTTTGACCATTTGACTGCAGATCCTGCAGAGTACGGTCTAACCTAAAACACAGGAGCACTGATTTTTCTCAGGTATAGACAATAAGAGTTAACAGACAGGCAAAAAAAAACACAAACAAACAAACAAAAAAAAACAACACTTTCCATGGTCCCTACCTGAAGAACATAGCATTTCTGAGCTCAGGTGTGGAGCTACGGTACCTCAGGCCACAGAAGGGAGATAATGGAGGAGGATCTGAAAGCTAGGCCATGTGTGCATTCAGTCCACATCCTGTCCTCCACCTCCACTCTTCTTAGATCTTAGAAACTATGCCAAATTGCTGCACAAGGATGGCCAGACTCAAACGTTTTAAATCAATGCTTGCTATTCACTAGAACTGTTTTTCAGGAAGGAAGGGGGAGACTGCCCATCAGCCAGGGGCTGGGATTCACTTCCCCCCATTGTTGAACACATCAAAATTACATGCTTTCTTTTACAACTTAATTTACCTTTAAAAAATCCCTATAAGAGGCAATCAATTGATGTGCCTCTCACATTGCTGTTTTTCTCTCTCTGTGCCTCCTCCCTTCCCTCCCACTCTCTCTAAAAATCAATGGAAAAATATGCTCAGGTGAGGATTAACAACAACAAAAATCCCTATAAGATTTGTGTTGATAAGCAGTGGGAAAAGTTAAACTCGAAAAGGAAATATGAGAGAAACTGATGTTGATGAGAATGAAGGAGATCTTATAAAATAGCAAACTTCAAAGACACTATTTAATGGGAGTACTAATAACAAAATAAAGATAGACAAATATACATTTGAAAACAGAGGAAATCACATTACTTTTTTGGGGGGGGAGGAGGCAGGGAAGGGTGACACTGAAGATCCCTAAGGCAGTAATAATGTACATTCAAGGGAATAAAACATTAAGGGTTTCTTAATTAGTTGAGAGTTTTCACTTTCAGAACAGTGAATCCTCCACTTAGGATTGTGCAAAGGCTGATTTCATCATTAAATTAAGGTGAGTTTAAAAGTTGGAACTAAAACACATTTTAATGGCTTAGACATGGTGACTTGAGATAAATTGGGGGGGATCAAGAATGACTCGCTCCCAAGTTTCTGAATTGAGCAACAGAATGAATTGTAGATGTCAATTACTGAAAAGGGAAGGCAAACAGATTTAGAATCCAGTTTAGGACATTTTGAGCGTGAATTAGCTAAGAAATCTAGGAGGACATAATAAATATGTAATTTAATATATGAGTGTGGACCCAGTCTGAGGTTGAATATATCAATACAGAACTTACCCAAGATCAGACAGCTTCTGAGAAGTGGTGGGGAGCAAGGGACAACCCCTTCTGTCTCCATATTCATGTTTCTTTCTCTAAGACATGTAGAAACTAGAGAAGTGGGAATCTGCTTTAAATATAGAATTCCACAACTATCATCTCTCTACAAATACTGCTGAGTAGAAGGTCTAGAAATATTATATATTTCAACTACAGTGCTGAACCCAGAACCGACACTTGCTTCCAAGTATTTAAATGTGTGTCTAATCAAGCTACTTATGCCAGAAATTTTCTCTGATTCTTCTTAAAACTTGGCCAAGTCCCTATCTGCTGCCTGACAAACACATCTGAGTGTCAGTGAATCTCAAAAACATAAGCATCTTTAAATTTTCCCATCGGACTTCTAAGTGCCATGAAAATTCAAATCCAGCTGTATAAATCTGTTGTCTAGTTCATGGCCTTTCGTCATCGGTTTGGTCTGGGATTGTCATTTGCCTAATAATGAGAAATGCAGGTAGAGTGTCTGTGGTGAAAAGAGAGAAAGAGAAAACAGGAAAGATGACAAATATGGGGTAGATGGCAGAAGAGGAACCCCCGAAAGGAACTACTAATGAACACCCAAAGACCAAAAGCTAAGGCAAACAAGTCTTTCAAGGAAGGATTGAGAGCAGTGTAGGGGAAATAGTAGCTAGAGGCAAAGTAAATGGGAAAACCTAAAGACTACTCAAGGTTTTCAACACTGAAGGCATTAGTGAGCAAAGCCAGGGCCATTTCAGCGACGTGATAAGCACAACATCGAGACTTCTCTGAGTGGAGGTGAAATTAGGAACATGGAACTTGGAGAACTTACTTGGAAACACTAGCTTTATTAGTTTGGATCCAAAGAAGGGGAGAGATAAGACATTAGCCATGGAAGAGAAGTGTACGTAACACGATGAAAAGTTCATAGCATGTCAAATATTGGTTGTGACTAAGTTTGGAGTGGAAAAGCAATATTCTTCAATTCTCAGGAATGAAAGGGCCTTAAAGGTTATCAAGTGAAATGTCCAGCTTCTGTTCTATATCCCTAACACCGTGACCACCCCCATTGCTGTTCCACATCCAGAAATGGTCTCAAAACTGTTTATTCCACAAGCCTGTTTATTCCACTTTCCAACAAAGCTCTACCACCTAGAAAATGTTGCCCTCATCTGTCCATCAGATTTCTACACTCTGTTTTATCCATCCATCTGTTGGGTCCTGGGTCTTCCTGCGGACACCACATCACACCAAACAGACCAGGAAAGCTCTCTGGGTGTCAAAGGCAACCTTATTGTCCCTGTCCTTATCCTACACTGTTTACTCAGTGATTCCCTCTACACGTTCACTGGATATCCAGACTCATCCAGTTGTCACCTTCTCTCTGTGGTCTCCAGAACAAATCACATGCTGAGCAGAAACATGATCTCCTCCCTTCCTTGGCACCCTCAACATCTATTGAGCTATTCTTGCATCCTGTTTGATTTTTTTTGGGGGGGGGGCAGTGCCCTTTTCTATTCTCTGTGGCTCTCCAACTCTCATCCTAACCTTCCCCTGTCCAGTGATGATCCAATGATGACTACTCACAGATGAAAGACACACACATGAGAAGGAATGCATTTTTATGGGGAGAATATTCCAGAATGGGGGAGGAATTGCTCCAGGAGGGGGTGAGGTTGGTGATATTCAAATTTCAGAGTAGCGTTAAGTGTTTGTAACTGACAGGTTGGCATTGGAGTTGGAGTTCTCCTTCACATGGTTAGAACTGGTTATTTTCTCAGAAAATTTCAGGCAGCACTTTTGATCATTGGGGCAGGTTAAGTACTGAATTTCTTGTTTTCTGCAGGCATTTCTGCACACGCCATGGTAAAGTTGGCATGGAATCCAAGGCTCCTTGCTCTTGCCAAAGAAGGATCTGAACAGGCCACCTGGGAAAAACATAGCCATGTTTAGTTTCTCCGGAGCAATGAAAACAGGAGTGCAGGAGCATGATTTAACAGAATAAACCCTGAGCATATTAAGAGCACAGGATCTGGATTCAAAACGACCTCAATTCAAATCTGCGCTCTGTCATCCTTATAGCTCTTCATCCTTAAGCAAGTTACTTAAGTTCTTGAGCCCACCCTTGCATCACCTTCACAATGGGCGTAATAATTACACCAACTTCTTAACATTTTTTAAAAATATATATTTTATTGATTTTTTTTACAGAGAGGAAGGGAGAGGGATAGAGAGTTAGAAACATTGATGAGAAAGAAACATTGATCAGCTGCCTCCTGCACACCCCCTACTGGGGATGTGCCCACAACCAACGTACATGCCCTTGATCAGAATCGAACCTGGGACCCTTGAGTCTGCAGGCCGATGCTCTATCCACTGAGCCAAACCAGCCAGGACTTCTTAACATTTTTGTGATGATAAAATTAGCATATTAATATGCTCAGAAAAACAACAAAAAATAAATATTAGGCAGTGTTGTTGATATGAGAGTCTTTTCCTTGGGTTCCAGGACTTTAAGGGCTGCCACTGTGAGCACCAGTTGGACTTGTCCCAAGTGCCCATACAGATGTGTGCTCCTCACACACGACTTCCATCAGAGACAGCCAGGATCTGCTCTGAGGCTGGACACATGTATTTGAGCCCATGCATTGCCTTTGTACTTTGAAATACTTGAGCAAACATGTGCCGTAAGTGCTCACAGTACAAATCTCTACACATATTTTTCTACATATGGCCAAAGCCCGTTTGTGAGTATTAATAGCTATGTATAAGTCATCCAGCCGAACCGGTTTGGCTCAGTGGATAGAGCGTCGGCCTGCGGACTGAAGGGTCCTAGGTTCGATTCCGGTCAAGGGCATGTACCTGGGTTGCGGGCACATCCCCAGTGGGGGATGTGCAGGAGGCAGCTGATCGATGTTTCTCTCTCATCGATGTTTCTAACTCTCTATCCCTCTCCCTTCTTCTCTGTAAAAAATCAATAAAATATATTTTAAAAAAATAATAAGTCATCCAGATATGTCCATGTGTATATGAGCTCATCAGCTGAAAACATTTATAGTCAACAAGCTATAAATATTAGTCATCAGTTAGTTACTCATTGGAACTTTCAAAGACAAAGGAGGCATTAGAAAGGAAATAATACTGCCCTAGCTGGTTTGGCTCAGTGGGTAGAATGTCAGCTGGCAGACTGAAGGGTCCCGGGTTCGATTCCGGTCAAGGGCACATGCCTGGGTTGTGGACTCGATCCCCAGTAGGATCCCTCCCTGCCTCTCTGAAATCAATAAAACCATATTTAAAAAATTTTAAAGGTATAATACTAACAATCACTACCATACATTTGGCATCTTCTACATACCAGGCATTTTACAAGCCATATCTCACCGAACCCTTGCAAAAGCCTGCTCTTATCTCCATTCATTAGATGAACACACTGAGACTGAAAGAGAGACCTTATTCTGTCCATATTCTCATAGCTCGTGCTTGACCAGGCTAGGATCCTATTTCTTGTCTACATGATATTAAGCCCATGCTCTTTCCTCTCTGTCACATGTCCTCTCTATGTGATAGAATTTCTAGGAGAGGGTGGCATATTATTGTGTCATGTCTGTAGACACTGGGCCTTCTGCTGTTTTCAATAGATAGTCCAAAATTCTTAGTTTAGCATTCAATAACTTTTCAACCGTCCACCCATCCCCTTATTCCACACCCATTTATCAGCACTCACTCTGTGCCAGGCCCTGTACTCAGTGCTAAGCATGCAGAGGTCTCAATGCCCCACCCACATTAGTAAAAACTGGACAAAGCAAGTTTGATGTTATTTCCTTCATGGGAAAACAAACAAACACCACTCTGTTAGTTTTTTTTACAAGATAAAGTAAAATTTTCCAAGTTTAAGTAAAGTCAGAGAACCAGATGGGAAAGAAAGAAGAAAAGAGCTATTTCATTAGCAGACATCCTATAGCCTTTGGGTCCTGGTGTATATGTGAACTGCCCCAGAAACTGGCACCTGGAGCCAGAGGAGGCACTCAACTGCCCCTTCAGGAAGCCAGCCTGCCCCTTCATCCATGCCCCAGCATCATGGTACCACTGCATCCCCTACATTAATCCTCACCTTCATCATGGCAAGAATTAATGAGAACTGCCACTTATGAACCAGTCTACTTGTAGGAAAGGGAGATCTGCAGGGGGCCTCCCCAAAGTGATGGCCATGCCCACAGGACTTTTCTTTTCTCCTCAACACAATGGATGGAAGCCAAGGCACCAGGATTTCCTCTTCGTAGTCACCAGAAGATGGATAGGAACATAGATAACAAGAAGGATCAGGCAGGCTGCCTTTTCCTTACTCTTTCCACATAGGAAGCATGTCAAGACAATTCCAGGAGGATTCTGCTTAAACAAACAAACCTATATGTTACAGTTTGTGTCACGACAAACTGTAACACCCACATCAAGTTCATGTCACTTTTGACGATCCCTCTATCTTCAAAATGAAGTCAGAGGAGACCTGCTCTTGAACGCCAGTATTGCCTCTGATCCTCTGGACCTAGCCTCCCTGTGGGAGAAATGGGAATGCGAGTGTTTGCACCAGATCAAAAAAAGTCTCAGTTGTGTTTGTAAAGAAGGAGGTTACCAAGGTGTGTCATGCTTTGTAATAACCTAGCGGATGTTTAATCCTCACATCAAGTCTCCAGAGACTGATTCGAGAGGTCTGGGGAGAGGCCAGAGCAAGGGTGCTGTGCAAGTGTTTCTGAGAAAATACTCATGGGCTTCTGCTAAACGTGAGAGCCACAATCCTGCTAACCTTCTAACATTCACCCACAGACACTCACCTTCCCACATTGGACTTGTTTTAAGAGCAAATGAAAATGTAATAAATTTAAAGCCAAAGCATATGCTCTAGACTCTATCAGCTCCATCCAGAGACCAAAATCAATGTGTTACATGATTTCTCTGCCATCTGTGCAGCCCACATATGATCCTTACCCATCCTACTTCTAAGGTTCTTCCTACCTATATGTACTTATTAGGTACTAGAAATTCGCGCACTCGGGGGAGGGGGTCCCTCAGCCCAGCCTGCACCCTCTCACAGTCCAGAACCCTCGGGGGATGGAGAGTGGGCCTAAGCCAGTAGTCAGACATCCTTAGCGCTGCCGCAGATGCACTTGGGGGAGGGGGTCCCTCAGCCCAGCCTGCACCCTCTCACAGTCCAGAACCCTCGGGGGATGGAGAGTGGGCCTAAGCCAGTAGTCAGACATCCTTAGCGCTGCCGCAGAGAGTCCAGAGCCCTCGGGGGATGGAGAGCGGGTCTAAGCCAGTAGTCAGACATCCTTAGCGCTGCCGCAGAGGTGAGAGAGGCTCCTGCCATAGCTGCTGTGCTCGCCAGCCATGAGCCTGGCTTCTGGCTGAGCAGCACACCCCCTGGGGGAGCGCACTGACCACCTGGGGGCAGCTCCTGCATTGAGCACCTGCCCCCTGGTGGTCAGTGTGGTCATAGCGACCAGTCGTTCCTCCGTTCGGTTGATTTGCATATTAGCCTTTTATTATATAGGATAAGTCATTTATAAATTCATTCATTCAATAAACATTTACTAAAACCTACTATGAGGAAAGCACTCAGTTCAATACCAGGAATACAGAACTTTAAAAGGCAGAGTCTTGGTTTTCAAACAGTTTAATTTCATTTGTATATATTTGGGTGCTGAAAAGAAAAGATGGCTTTGATTGTCCCAGAAAAGGTTGCCCAGAACAGTTCCTGCCCATAAATTCCACCAGGTGAAAGTATAAAGTAGTTATTAAGGAAGCAACACTATGTACAATTTTTGAAGCATAGAGTGTCATCTTTCTTGTTGTTTTTGGCAAACCCACCTGTGGTTTTTATTACTATTCTAGCATGGGAACTGAGCTTTCCTGGACATGAGAAGGATTGTCTCTCAAGTAAAGAAGATAAAACAGGGTGAGAAATAAGGGGTAGGAGAATGTGAAGTAGGAAGAAGATGGAAAAGGAGAGGGAGGAGAAAGGGAAAAAGGAGATAGCACTAAACAGTAACTCTGAACTCAACCCCAGAAAGGAGAAACAACCTTAGTTTTCTATAGGGCTGGGTTGAGACCACTCCCATGTCTCTCTGTAGATGCCAACGTTTGACAGAGACATTGAGGATCCTCCAGACTTCGGATTTCACTTTTCCTCTCTACTTGTATCTATTGTTCTTCAGTGCCCCCTGGAAATCACACTAAAGTAACTTTTTTAAAGAATTTGAAAATATTACTGGATACTTTTCATCCAGCATTCATTCTCCCCATTTCAACAGCCACAGCTCTGTTGTGATAAATTTGGCTGTCTTATTCAAACTTAATAACCCCCAAACCTGGGCTAAGCCAACCACTTCCCAGATAACACCCACGTAATATCCTGCTGGAATAAGACACATACTTGAACCAAATATCTTACTTCAACTCCCAGCCCTATCTCTCCTGATAACACCCAAGGCTCAATTATAAAACTTAATACAAACATAAAACGAGCCAAACTACTCAATCCTAATCACAACATCAAGCCAAAACACAGATCAACTACAAACTTCACTCTACCCTAACTCCTGGTTCTACCCAACTCCTCCCTCAGCTCCATTCAATGAAAAATACTATTCCTCTCCAGACTACATTAAAATATTAGGTGAGCCCAATTTTATAAATAGATTTGCTCTCTCCCCCTCTTCCCCATCTCTTCTCATTTCCCCCATATTACTCTAAGGTTATATACCATCCCCATCGCAACTCACTCTCCAAATTCCAAACTACTGTTGAATTCTCCCTACAGCTCTCTCACACCTGATACATGAATCAAGCTTCCATCCCAATAATAGCACTCCTGAAAATGCTTCATGCTTCAACACTCCACTGTCCCAGGAACAGCAACCTCTTAAGTTTGTCTTGGCAGAGTAGAAACAAGGGAGATCGTAACATGAAATGGAGCTTGGAATTAACATCCACAACCTACCTGAGACGAGAAAAGGCTTTGGGCAGTGCCTACTATACGTAGTTATCTCAGAGGTCACCAAGATACCAATAGCACATGTAAGACCCCAGAACTTTTGAGAGAGGCCTGAATTACCTGGAGTCTTATGAACCAGGATCAGAAGGATGGAAATGGTCATTAAATAGGGCTTCATGACTGACATGTCCTGAGAGGATGGAGGGCTGTGTAGCAGGGGACTGAATAGAGATCATTGAAGCAGGACAGTGTCCTGCTTTAATTCATTTTGGAAACGGGCCAGGGTTGTGTGCAGTGAACTGAAAGGGATGAGACATCCCTGGGCTCAGCCAAGCAGAAGGATAATATGTATCACACATCCCAGCTGGAACTCTAATAAGTTTGGGAGAATTACCAGCAGCACCATGTCAAGGTGGGCCTTCTTCCCAGGAAGAAGTAGGCTAGAGCCAGTTGTGTGAAACATACGTATCTGAATGAATAGATCAATTGATCGATCAATCAATCAAACAAACAATGAGAAGACTAATACATAATTTAAGAAATCAGAAATCTTTTAAAACACATTGTTCTTTATCCTCCTGACAGTAATCCTGTACTAGACATCAGAGACTAACAAAGAAAGAAAAAGATAATGATGAAAGAAGAGATGGGAAAGAAAAATTAAAGAGGAAGTGTAACTGGAGGAAGGGAGGGAAAGACATGAGGCAAAAATAACAGCAATTCACATTTACCATGACTCTACCATGTGTCAGTTTCTGTGCTAAATGCTATGGGATAGATATGAACACTTACTACAACACTGTGAAGTTGGGTAGTATTTCCTACTTCACAGATGAGGATGAGAAAGTTTGAAGAGATGTTGTAACATTCCTATGCCACACATCTAATAAGGCATAGGGCCAAGAATTCAGCATTTATCCCATGAGAAATGGGAATAACATGATTTTGTAGAGAACACCACATTTGACTTTTTACTCTAGTGAACTAATGTGGAAGATGGGTGGCTGGTGTCGTCTTTTGAATGAAAATGAGGAAGTGAGTGAAAAGACTCTTTGGAAAATCTAGGCTAGGATTTCCACATCTTGTCATTACAAGGCAAATGGAACTAGACTCATCATGTCGCTCAAACGTATGGACTGAAAAATATATTCTAACTAATATTTAAATGTACATAATTATTCTTTCATGTTATGTTATTTAGTTGATATTTTTAAGACAGAAAAAAACATTTAAAATGTGTGATATGGATATATATATATATATAGTAAAAGTTAATGTTTAAAATTAGGTATCTTATTGTGCTTTATGTTTTTCTCTCTCTTAGGTAAAGTGTTGATAGAAGACAACCAATTCATTGCTCCCATAGTTTCCAATCATACAAGCACATGGACAAAACCAACAGGTATGGATCCTTCAGCCTACATGTGACAGAGTTTCCAAGAAAACGAAAAGGAAGTGATTCAGATCCATCCCAGTAAGTGAATTTGTTCCTTTAACCCCATTAAATATTTTATTCTGGCACTTTCCAGTCCAGCTATGAAGGTTATTAGGTATCCAGGAGGGTCAAGTGGAGTCATGTGGGAGACTGGGAAGTCCAAGACTGAGGTACCAGCATGGCCCGTTTTGGGTAAGAGCTCGCTCCTAGCTTGTAGACGGTGGGAAGGGAGAAAGGAGGTTGATTTGAAAATTATTAGCATGATTAGATGAGGAGATTGTGCTTCCTCTTAAGTTATATAGTAAATTGTTGAATATTATAGAGTTTATATAGAAACTAGAGGGGAACGTATTTAAAATATCTGATCCCTATATTGATTTATATATTAACCTATACTACTATACTCATTGTTAAATATTTGCAGTATCACACCTTGGTACAGATCTTGGTAATACTTGTGGTACAATGAAAAGAGGAGAACATATGTATTCATATACAAATATATTTATGCATGTAAAATGTGTGTGCTTGAGGAGCAATACTCATTAGGCAAGATCTATCTTTCCTCTTCATTCTCAAGTTTGACTTAGCTAATCATGAATCTTTACTATTTCAATCAAATCTTAAGAAAAATGTGTTGAGTTTGCCTGGAAAAACTAACTTGGAATTTGCATTAGGAATGATTAAACTCATAGATTTATTTGGGGGAGATGGATGTTTTAAGTCATCTTATCCTGGAGTATGAATGTCTCATTGTCTCTGTCCTTTGTCAGTATGTAAAAGTTTTCCCTGTAGAAGTCATATATGTAGGATCAAAATAAAGTCTAAAGACCTTATAGACTTTGCTGCTAATGAAAAAATTATATCTTATTTTACATTGTCTTTTCCACTTAATCATTGGGAACATAGAGAAATGCTATTGATTCTTGTAAATTGATCTTATATCCAGAAAACCTACAGGACTCTCTTTTGAATTTTATTGGTTTGTCCTTTTTAAAAATTTATTTTTATTGTTGAGAGCATTACGAATGTCCCCCATTTTCCCTCCTTTGCCCCCTTCCACCCGGCTCCCACCCCACGCCAGGCCTTCACCTCACTATTGTCTGTGTCCATGGGCTATGCATATATGCACATAAATTCTTTGGTTCATCTCCTCCCGTTCTGCCCTTTCCTTTCCCTCTGAGATCTGTCAGTCTGTTCCATGCTTCCATATCAATGGACTTACTCTGTTAGTCAGTTTATTTTGTTCATCGGATTCCACATATAAATAAGATCACATGATAGTTGTCTTTCTCTGACTGGCTTATTTCACTTAGCATAATAATCTCCAGGTCCCTCCATGCTGTCTCAAAAGGTAAGAGATCCTCCTTTTTGCAGCTGCATAGTATTCCATGGTATAAATATACCACAGCTTTTTTACCCACTCATCTGCTGATGGGCACTTGGGCTGTTTCCAAATCTTAGCTCTTATAAATAATGTTGCTGTGAACATAGGGGTGCATATATTCTTTCTGATTGGTGTTTCAGAATTCTTAGGATATAGTCCCAGAAGTGGGATCGCTGGGACAAAAGGCAGTTCCATTTTTAGTTTTTTGAGGAAACTCCATACTGCTTTCCACAGTGGCTGCACAGTCTGCATTCCCACCAGCAGTGCACTAGGATTCCCTTTTCTCCACATCCTCGCCAGCACTTGGTGTTTGATGATTTATTGATGGTAGCCACTTTGGCAGGTGTGAGGTATTAGTTTGTCCTTTGGTTGATTATTCACCTAAGTGACTGCATTATCTGTCAGCAAGGACCTTGTATCTCCACCTTTTCAGTCTTTGCACTTAATTCTTATTTTTCCTAATAGCATGGGCCAGGACTTCTATTGTTATAATAAACATTTGAATGTTAGTGGGAATCCTTGTTTTCCTTTCAATTTTAAAGAAAATGCATCTAAAGTTCCTTGAAAATATATAACATTTTCCCTAAGAGTTTGGCATTTAATATTTAGCTTGTTTAGTAAGTTCTCTTCTCTACTTAATTTCTTAAAATATTCTACTATAATTGTTTTTGAAATTTATAAAATATTTTTCTCTCAGTCTTTTAAAGTAATTGTGTAATCATTTTTCGATTAAAGTAGAGAATTGTATTGTTTCTGATATTATATCATCACACATTTTTTAGATATATCTTAACTGATTATAGTATATTTTTAACACATTATTAAATTTAGTTATTTAAAATTTAATATGGAATTTTGGCACATTCATGCAGAGGAGATATGGCTTATAGTTTTCTATTCTTTATTGTTCATATCTGTTTTTGAAGGCAAGATAATATTAACCTCCTAAAATCATCTGGGTAGCTTTTACATTTTCTCTTTCTTCTGAAACAACTTGTGTAGACAGGAATTAACTGTTCCCTCAAAGTTGGCGCCATCTGCCTAGTCGGTTTTGCTCAGTAGATAGAGCATCTGCCTCCAGACCAAAGGGTCCTGGGTTCCATTCCAGTCAAGGCACATACCTTGGTTGCAGACTCCTCCCCAACCCAGGCCCTGGTAGGGGCTCGTGCAGGAGGCAACCAGTCGATGTGTTTCTCTCACATCGATGTTTATCTCTGCCTTTCTCTCTTCCACTCTCCCTAAAAGTCAAGGGTAAAATTGTCTCCGGTGAGGATTAACAACAAAAAATGTTTGGGACATCTGAGGTGACCATAAATTCATCTGTAATGAATGTAAACAGGACACATTCGAGAATAAAGAAGAGCATTATTAACAATGATGCGGTGGCAAAGAGGGTGAACAAGGGCTATTCTAAGCAGAACAAACTAGAACTCAATGTTAATACTTTGTGAGTGTGGGACTTAGTGGGAGGAGGGAAGGCGCTCAGCCCCACTCAATGTTTTCATGCTTCGCAGATCTACTTAGGTTTGGATTTCTTCCAGTGCTACTCTTGATGGATGGTTTGCTTTGAAGTCTTTTTCATTATTTATTATGCATATTTGCTCATCATGCACAGATATCCCATAAAGCGCACATGCCCAAACACTGTATGTGATTTTATACCCCTTCAACCTCTGTCAATCTAGCATATACTGACTTGTCCTATAGGGATATGTTGAAGACATCCGGCCAGCTATTCTTACAGTGGTCCCCTTTCTGTTCTATCTGCTTTCCTGTAGCTTGTTACCAATATACCATGTAAATAGGAGGTTAGTTGTAATGATTTTATTGGTTCAGGTTATTATTTTTGACAAAATTGCATCAGAGGTGATGCTGTGTTGTCTATATTGCATCCCATCAGGACTCACTTAATATGTGGCTATCCCTTAATATTCAGACTCATAACTGAATTAAAGTGATGACTGCCTGACCTTTCTATTGAACGGTGCTGTTTTCCCCTTCTATATTCAAAGTAGTCTGTATGGTGCAACTTGGCCTATACAAACGTCTGGCACCATGTCAATCCTACACTTACTGGTTTTAACACAAATTATAGTCCTTGCCTGAGACAATAAATTCTTTGGGAGTTGTAGGGTACAACTCAGTAAAATAAAACTTTCCCTTATCACTAGAGATACTTGGCTACGGAAGCACAGCTCCTACTGGAGAGGCAGGATAAATACTTAATTTATTCAGATTAGTGACTGGTTATCAAAGGAAACAGTTTGCTGAGTGGCTGCCTCAAAAAGTGACACAGGAGCTTTTCTGGCTATCCCATCTCTAGATATTATTAGATAATCATGTCTTTCCCCTGATTCAATGCATT